AAATTAAAAAATAAGAAGAAAAACTTTCCTACAACAAAAAAGTATAAATTAATATTTAATGAATTTCTCTTGACAGAAACAAAATGAATAAATATAAATCATCATATGTCAACACAAATTTCCATAACTCTAGAGAACAATAATATATAAAATCCTACCTCAGCTAATTTAAGAACCTGCCTGAGCTAATATCTAAGCACCTGCCTGAGTTAATAGCTAAAAATTTCTGAATGGGAAATTAAAAAATAATACCTGAAAGAATTTTCTGACACAATAAACATAAATTAGTTTGCCAAATAAATGGAAGAATTTCTTTTAATACTAATAAAATAAACAAACATAAATCATACCAACAGAAATTTCTATACTTACTACTTATTGATCATAAATTTCCAACTTTATTGAATATAGCATCCTATTAAATTAATAATATGTAAGAAGTTCTCTAAATTAATATATAAAAGTCTGCAAGAAAAGAATTAAATTTTTGGTCACACTGAAAATTTTGGAGATTCTTTTAGACACAATACATTAAGACATGATATGTTTGAATGTACATATAATCATTTAAACATTAATATAAATTTATAAATATAACAAAATATAATAAACAAATATTTTTAATATAATATCATTATCAATCTTACCTATTGTAAACTTTTAATCATAACCTGTAAACTTTTAATTATAATCTGAAACAAATAAACAGATTCATGAATAAAATTATTCTTTAAAATCATTTAAGAACTAAAAAAAATTTGTGTAAAAAATGTAACTGAAAGCTGAAACAGACAAGTATTTTTATATACATCAAATGAAAAAAATTTTAATTATACAAAATTATATAATTGCATTAAACATTGACATAAATGTAAGTGCAAGTAAATGAGATATATAAACATACCAAAAAATAAATAAAAAATGTAACTCAAATTGAAAAAAACAAAATTTATATTATGCAAAAATTAAAGAAAATACATATATAAAATGTAAATCTGTAACAGAAAGCAAAATTTTAATTACCAAACTTTATACATTATTCATTTATATTATATAAACAGTACAAAAATGTCGAATATAGTACAAATTGAATTATAAAAAAATTTTATATCGTTTTGAATTGTTTATATCTTCTATAATTAAAAAATTCTGTAATATTAAATTGAGAAGTATAATATATATTTTTATGATCTTATGATATTTAATTAAAAAATAAAAATTCAATTTTTAAAATGTTAATTACTACAGTGATGATTTCTTTTGATTTAAAAATCACAGTTTTTAATAAATATTTGTTAAAAAAAAAAACCTATATCATAGGTAATTCTTCTATATCATTGGTAATAACATTGCGGCAATTTTCGATACTGTGAGCATAGTGATAATAAGCAGAAAGGAACAATAAAATTCAAAGCAAAGCAAGTAGAAATCTCAAAAATGACTCTCCATTAGATAATGGAAAACCATTTTTTAAAATCTTCAGCTTTTAGCTTCTCTCTTCAGATTTCTTGCATTAACACCATTAGACTCTATTCGAGTATTGTTAAATAATGTATATCGTACTGCGACCAATCATTAAAAGAATAGCTGTTCGATGTACAATACACAAGATCTAACATGAATCTCCAAATAGAACCAATGTCACTTATACACTCCATTTTTCGTCCGAGTCTAGAACTACGGGTGGATTTACAAACTAAAGGTACGAATCAGAAGCAATTAGAATCAACTGATGGAGCATTAATTGATTCCATTCCCAGGTGCAAATAAATCACGCAACCTAATAACCTACCCGAAATAAAGACTGTGATTTTACCTTTCCTGGGTCTACCTACTTATAATTAACACGCACATACATACACACCAGAATGTAAGTTATATATTCCCCCCTGCCGCTATACCTAAGAAATGACAAACACTCCATGGTTCTCACACATACTACTCAGATGCAAACCTATCCTAGGGAGATGCGTCCCGGGACGCCTCCGTCACCTGAGTTTATAGCATTCAATCTTTCATACATTAAGTTTACGTACCAATTGCTGAAATCAACTGACAATTTTAGCGAATATTGCGTTAAATATTCATCTATATAAAATATTTCGTTTATATTCATTTGTATCAACTGTATCTGTTATTATCTTTCAGAGATTTCATAAAACATTCTCCGTATATTATATAATAATTATATCTCTTTGTAACATCATTTTTATTTATATCAGTTCATATTTGTCTGTATAATATTGTTGATTAAATATCAGACTCTGAAATGAATTTAAATATAAACTCAGATTTCGTATTTATCTCTTTTCATCATTTTTTTTATATTTTATTTCTGTTTTTATTTTATTAAATTTATCCGATGCAATTCCCATAAACCTAACTACACACACACACGTATGGAACTTACATCGTGCACAAACGCTAAATATTGTCAATCGCTAAGAATGAATCTTAAAACTAAAACCGTGTCCACCACCTTCATCCATGAGAGAAGCACTTGAGCCCGCTCATGAGTTTCAGGTTCAAGAAATGAACATGGCCATAATAAATGACACATACCTTGATTATATGCTGAAAATCCTAAGCTAAAAGAACTATTAATAAAATATCTAAACGAGCTAGTTTTCTCTGTTTGTATATTTAGTATAAAATTAAAATTTTAAAAATATATTTAATAAAATCAAAAGTATTTAAAGAATTTATTGGAAACTTTATTAATTGAAAACTTTCATTAAGTGTAAGTGTATTATTTATTTATTGATATTCATTTTTTCCTTCATTATACTTTTTGGTCGATTCTATTACAAAGTATGCACACGTTTAGAAATATAATTAATTAAAAATATAACTTAATAAAATCAAAGATATTCAAAGATTTTGAAGACTATCAAGTAAAAAGCCTGGATGAAAAAAACATGTATTATTTATTTAGCGATAATCATTTTTTATTATCCTGTTACAAAGTAAATGTTTCGAAATATAATTAAAAACATTTAAAATTATTACTTCGTTATTAGAATTTAACCATCGCGAATTGTCTTCTTGTTCATTATATCATTTTACACATGAAACTTATTTATTTTTATTTAATTTCATTTATTTTTAATATATACTCTTTCACAGAATCATTATCATTATGTACATGTATTGTTTTTATTTTTATATTTACATTTCATTTTCATAAACCAAGAAAGTATGTTCAATGAAACAAGCAAATGTTTTTCATGAAATCGGAGGATTATCCGATTTCTACTCTAGTAATTTGCAAAAAAGAAACAAGAAGACCCTAACCTGAGCTAAGAAATATAACACATAATAAAACAAAAGGCAAATAATATTCACTATGCTCACACGCGAAAATATAAATATAAAATCTTTGAAGTAAAACTCACCACTCGTTGAGTAAGTTGTACACGTCCATGCACGGCTGTTGGCAATGACAATAACAAACGGCTGCTGTCTTTCGAACGAAGTTGAAATTTGATACACAGCAACATCAGGTGCAGCTGCATCAAAAATAGGAAAGAACGAACAATAGAGACTTTCTAAAGTCAATCGAAATATTCTTCATCTTTAAAAATTTTACTTACAATTAATGTAGATTGTATCGTTTGGTAGGAAATAATATTCATTTCTATTATTTTATACGATGTTAATTTTTCTGTAATACAAAACAATTTTTAATAATATAAAATATTAAAGTATTAGATGATGTTTTTTATTTACAACAAATAAAGGAAATAAACTTACATTGCATTTTTATTATGCACATTTGTGGACATCAACATCTCTTTGTTTAACGGCTACGTTCGTCAACTATTTTTTGAAACAAATTAAAAAAAAAAGAAAAATGTTAATCAATTGTAAATCTAACTACATTGAAAAATTAGTACTGCCTTTAAATATTTACAAGTTTTAAGTTTCGGTGTTGAGCCCGAAGAAGATCCTCTCCTTAGCCAGATTTAACTTCAATTTCACAACGCGACCGAAATATTTCTTTATTTACAACTCGATTAAAATGTTAAACAACGAACGAACACTGACTCTACTTTTGCGTTATTATTACGTACAAGTAAAGAAAAAAAATGAGCCACGATGCTCAAAATTATACCACGTAACAAACACAGACTCTACGATCGCATTACGGACGATCACAAAAATTTTCTGAAAGAAATAGGTATTAAAGAAGGGAACAAGAGAAAAATTCATACAACACATTTTTGCCAAATATTTTTCTTTTCGTTATACGTACACATGCAATAAAGTATTTATACGAAAATATAGAAAATCATCATTGCAGCAATTATCATTGTATAAATATTTAAATCATTTATTTTATTTATTGTATTGATTTATTTAGTAAAACATGATTCCCAATTTATTAAAAAAACGTAATCATTGAAATTGATAAAAAATTATATAAACTATTCAGTCATATGTAATAGATAAAATCTTTAATAGTGTTATATTCATTATTTGTATTTGTAAAATTTTTAATAATGTTATATACATTATTTGTGTACTATAATTTTTTATAATTAAATTCAATAAAATATTATAGCTCTTACTCACTTACATGTAGCAATTTCAAAAAACTAGTAGATACGATCCTCATCAATCTTATACAGTCCTATCCCATAGATAGACATTCCATTTTAATTAAAAATTCTACGACAGAAAATAATAAAAATAATTAATAATTGAGATGATATTTATAACATATTAATAATTCTTATATTAGAAAATTTACAAAAAATTGAAAGTTTTTAACGAAAATTTCAAACGATGTAGTAGACATCAAGTATAAAAGAACATTTTAAAAAATTAAACTTAAACTTAAATATTTCATAATTCGATAATAAATTTTCGTTAAAAATAAATTAAAATACTAATCTTTCATTTTTCCTTTCACTATTTAAATAAACAGGTAGTACTTATCATAAAATATATTTGAGAAGAATGTTCGTATTCTTTATTAGAGAGATTTTTTTCAAAATGGACGTTAAAATATAAAATGTTCTAATATTGAAACTAACAATGGCCAAAATGACTTTTCCGTGCGGGGAGATTGTTGAACCCCGTCGGTTAAAAAAAAAATTAATTTTAGACATGAAATTATGCTTTTTAGCTGTATAAAAGACTCATTTTATGCAAAAATGAAGAAAAATTAATTAAAATACGTATCATTTACAAGAAATTATAAAAAATAAATGAAAAATAAATGAAATTACATCTTTACATGATAAAAAAATTGGCAGAACACTGTCAATTTTTCTTATTATGATAAACTAAGAAAAAAATGAATTTTATAAATGGAATTGCTTACATAGACTTCCTAATATTTGTCCTCTTCTTTTTATGATCATTTAGACCACGTAACAAAAGATAATATTGAAAAATTAATATATTAAATCAGACTAATTACGCAAACGTCTTAACAGGACGAAGATACAACGGCGAATGACCAATTGCAAATAGGTGGAGACAATAGCTAAGGGGAGACAATAAATACATCTGATTGGTCAATAAAAATATGGCGTTAGGGGGGAAGAAGTATCATCTTTAAACAATAATCCGCGAAATATACAGTAAAACTGCATATTTTAATTTTAATTTTATAAAAATTCAACATTAATAATTCTCATACTGAAAATGAACTAAAATTACTTTTAGTAATTCACTAACACTTCATTCTTTTCCACAATAAATGTAAAAAAAGTAATAAAAATATATAGCGTTTATAAATTTAAAAATATTAAAAGACAGGTGATTGGTCCAAAGTTCAATGAACGCTATTGGTCGAAATTTAAAAATATAAAAGCAAAACGTAAATTCAAATTACTTCGGTTTAATAATAAATATTAACATAAACGAAGTAAATATTAACAAAAAAACAAAAAAGATTGTAGCAAATATTGAGAAAAATATGTAATTATATCCATTGAATGGTTGATTATCATTTTAAGAAGTAATTTTCATTAAAATTTGAAGTTCTAAAACGCAATGCTTATTTTGAAAATATTAGCTATTGTTAATATCTAATAATTAATTATATGCATCATATATCCTTTATATAAATCTTCATTCTCTCTCTCTCTCTTTCTCATTTTCTTACAAACACATGCATATTCAGAATTATATTTGGCGCGAGATTTTATTCAATGTATTACCTTAATAAAGTGCAACATTAAAGAAAATATATACAAACAATCAATTAGCATGTGTAAATAATATTCTTTAATAAATAAATAATGTCTAATTTATCTCATGTACAGCGTGTTAGAATGCTGTACAAAACAATTTTAAGGTTACATCGTGGTTTACCAGCTGAAATTCAAGTTTTGGGAACCAGTTATGTTCGAGATGAATTCAGAAGACATAAAAATTGTGACAACGCTACAGCAATCATATTTTTGAAAGAATGGACAGTGAGTAATATTAATTAATTCAATTTTTTTTTGACATAATTATATAGGTTATCTTTATTGTAAAAATAAAAGTATCAATAAACATGAATTAAATTGATATTTTGCTTTCAATAGTTAAGAATAATCTTAACTAAAACAGATAATGAAATTAATTCATTTTATAGGAATATGCTATAATGCTTACTAAACAACTTGGACTAAAAGGACTACATACAGCTAAACCTTTAGGTCAAAATTTAGAAGAAAAAGATTTAAACAAATTTAGAGATGAACAAATGCATCAGTTGTACGAACTAATGATTGCAGCAACTGGCAAAAATAACAAGGGAAAAGATAGGTAATTTATTTTCTCTGAAATGTTAAAGTACTTCATATTTTACAGTTTCTAAGATATGTGATATTACATATACATCTTAGTATATCATTAATGTAATTATAATATATTGAATGCATTGTTATAATTCTTATGTATAAATACAATCTACAAAAATTTAGATCTAAATGAGACATTATAATAATATTTCATAACAATGATATTAATAAACTTGTATATAAAGCATTATTAAATATCAATATACTTTATATATTATTTATTTTATATATTTATTTACTATTTATTTTATATATTTAATGTTATAAAAATGTTTAATTATATTGAATGTTAATTATATTGAAAGAATACTCAGAAAAATATAACTTTAAAATTAAATGTAGGTTTAGCAAATATAAAGAAATTTTCAATTATTAATTATGAAAAAAAAATACTACCGATAAATGTTCATTTATTTTATCATTGAGGTTGTGTTCTAAGTATGCAAGTGTGGACAGTTAGGTTATAACTACGTCTTATGGAATTAAAATCTTGCA